ACAGAGAGACTATGGAGACAGAGAGCCTATGGAGACAGAGAGTCTGTGGAGGACAGCAAGGACAATGTACCTGGAAGCCCCACTCCTGAGGCCTCTAGAAAGATACCCAGTGAGTTTGTGAACCCATGTGACCCATAGTTCCTGCTGCCTTCCATCCCTTTCTGAATGGATGCCCACAGTGACCATACCTGGTTACCACTGTGCACAGCATGTGGGGCAGCCAATCACCTGGGCCTCAAGTCACCAGCTGGAGAGCAACTGTGCCTGAGTAAATAGCATCAGAGTAGACCTGTGGCTAGGCCTCTGAAGTAAAGGACTAGGTCTGCCACAGCCAGGGCTCACCTCACACAACCCCGAGTACACGACCCTGAGTGCAGCAGGACCTGCAGTCTGCTCAGAGCTGGGTTGATGTGGTCAAGGGAAAGGATGTCCTGTGACTGTGAGCACCGCATGATATGTCAAAGTGAAGGTGACTTGAGCTAATCATAAAGATCAGCCTCTGGTCTAAACGTGGCTTCCTGGAGACCACTGTCTTGATGCACGGAGCACAGCTCTCTTTCAGTATGAACAGCTGCAGTTTCCCTAAAAGGAGGAGGAGGAGTGGAGGGCTGGATTAGGTGGAGGCAGAATGCTGGGATGGATGTGGCAGCCACGGAACAGAAGCAATGATCAGATCGAGGTGACTACATACAGGTCACCTTCAGAGGTAAACAGAGTCTGCTCAAGTGATGTGGGGCAGCATTTACAGCACTGTTCAACACAGCAGCTAGGTGGGGTATGACAAATTCGTCATTTCAGACACACCAAGATGAAGACACGTGGGAAAGCTGTGTCCACAGACAGAGCAGCAGGCAGACTAACACCTCCTAAAGCAGCTCCGTTATGAAGGGGAAGTCTAGGGTGGGGCAGTTTGAATCAGAATCATACATATGATTGCCTGTCCACAGCTGGTGGAACTGTTTGGAAAGGATTAAAAGGCTTTATTGGAGGGTGTGTGTCACTAGAAGTGGGCTTTGAAGTTTCAAAAGCACACTCCACTAACAGTTAGCTCTCTTCCTCTGCCTCACGGTCATTGTCGTAACAGGTACACTCTCAGCTACTGCTCCCATGCCATGTCTTTCTGCCTGCGTGCCACCATGCACCCCAACATGATGCTCATGGACTCACCTTCTGAAACTGAAAGTGTGTTCCTACTTAAATGCTTTTTGTATAAGCTGCCTTGGTCAGGGTGTTTCTTTACAGCAACAGAACAGTAACTAAGATAGGGAAATTCAATGTGAAGGCCTTCCCAACAAATGGAGTAACATAATGTAAAAAGCTAAAAGTAAGAGATGAAGGATATGGGGCACACCAGGGTGTGTCAGCACACACTCTGTAACACAAGCACATGGAAGGTAAAGAACTCAAGACCAACTTGGGCTATGGAGGAAGAAAGGAAGAAAGGAAAAAGGTTCCAAAGGAGGAAAAGGCCTTTCGGAAAACTTCTTTTGCTTTTCTGACCTGAATATTTAAAATAAAAACAGGATGGCTTGAAGTTGAGACAGAAAGAAGTGAACATGAGCATACTCGGGAGGCAGAGTCTAATCAGAAGGTGCCTGAAGGCTTCCTGGTAGACACCCAACAGAAAGCGAAGTACCCTAGCATCAGAGAGTCTCCTCTGAAACCAGCATCAGAAGTCAGCGCACAGACAAAGCAAGGACAGTCGAGGGAGAAGTGAGGTTAGCTCACTGCCTGTCTGACACAAAAGCTGAAGGCCCCAGAGACTGGAGCACTAGGCTGCGGGTGGAGGCCTGCAGGCACATGAATAGACACTGGCATGTGCACACAGCACTGCTGCTGTCATGGCAGCTGAGGACACCCAGTGTCCCCAACATCAGGCAGTGGGAAGGAAGCAAGTGGCTGCCACGTTTGGGGTTGTGTGGCTCACACCAGAGCAGTGTGCAACTTTCAGGACCTAGTGCTCCTAGAATAAAAACCAACCCTGGACCACAAACATCTACTCCGAGTGTCATAGTGTGTAAGGATAACGCCTAGGTAAATGGCCACAACTTCTAAATTGCCCACAGACCCATTAGCAATATAAAATCACTGTCACATGACACCCCCAGCTGATACATACACAGAATAATAAGCAGGGCACTTACTTTTGTTGTAGCAGGTGGCCAGCACGCCTTTATCTGCTGGGCTGGCACTGATGTGCCAGATCTCACCAGCTTGATGGAGGAGGACATTTTTATTTATAATGTTATTTTCATCATCAAAATCTATGATGTGGATCTACAAATACAAGAAAAGGACAATCAGCATCTCAAAGGCTTTCCTTGGCACCTTAATAGTACCGTGATTATAAAGAACCACAAGCAAACTTAGTGACGGCTGCACTTTGAACAGGACACCCCTGCAGTTCAGTTCTCACAGAGCCCTCTCCCAAGGGCAGAGGGGCAAGGCCCCATGGAGTGCTTCCACAATGCCAAGCTGCATAATGCTGCCAACTTGTTTACTCCAGTCTAAAAACCTCAGGTGCTAAAGCCTCTGCTCTCAAGAGGCTGAGGGATGAGGGCACTAGTATCAACCTCGCGGTTTCTCGGGCCTGCTCTGTGGTTGCAGGTAGGACAGAAAATGGCAAGGGAATGCTGTCAGCTGAGGTCCAGGGTGGCCATGGGGGCTGGTGCCCAGCAGGAACCAGGTGAGCTGGACATGGGGGCTGGTGCCTAGAGGGAACCAGGTGAGCTGGCCATGGGGGCTGGTGCCCAGTGGGAACCAGGTGAGCTGGCGTGGGGGCCAGTGCCCAGGGAATCCGGTGAGCTAGCCGTGGGGGCCGGTGCCCAGGGAACCAGGTGAGAACCAGGTGAGCTGGCTGTGGGGGCTAGTGCCTAGAGGGAACCAGGTGAGCTATACTGGTCCCTCTATGATGGGCAAGACTCAACTCAAGGCAACATTGACTGAGGTAGGCAGGACTTTATTTTAGTATATTTTATTTCTTTTTAAAAGTGAAGCAAGCATATCAGCACCCATGGTTATACACTATTAATTACCACTCTGTGAAATTTAGGTCTCTGGGTGATAAAGGTAACTACACCATCTCCACGCTTAGCCGGGGGAAAATTAGAGGAAATATAATGATTTTCACACTCAATCTCTCTGATCAGCACTCAAGCCAGTAGAAGACACTTACAAAAATATACATATACTAAGAAAATGCATGGCTCTGCAGGTTTCTTCCAAGAAAGCTCCCCATTGGCATTGATTACTGTAATGAAAGGGTCAAAGCCACCTTGATGCCCAGGATGAATTAGGATGCTTGTCTGTATTTGGCAGTGGTAGGATCCCACAAAGCTATTTAGTACCTGGTAGACTATTTAGCAGTGTGGAAAGATGTCCATGATACAGATTTAAGGAGACAGGAACATAAAAAGGACTACACCAAACATGACACCCATTTTTGTTTAAAAAAAACCACACATGTCTCCAGCTGAGTAGAAATTAAAGGAGTCTCTCTGGAGGTGGGAGTCACAGTCTTTGCCTTTGACATTCTGGGCTTTGCATTTTTAATGGTTTTCCAAGTGACAAATATGTGTCACTTTTGCTATCAAAACAAACTTTTTTTTTCTTTTGAGACAGGGTTCTTCTGTAGCTTTGGAGCCTGTCCTGGAACTCACTCTATAGACCAGGCTGGACTCAAACCCTCAGAGATCCACCTGCCTCTGCCTCCTGAGTGCTGGGATTAATGGTGTGTGCCAAAGCAAACACTTAATACTAAAGTTTTTGCACAACAGCTAACAGCATGTTTGTGTGGTGTGACTTCAGAAGGCCTCTTGCTCATCCTCAATTCTTCCTCCTCTGCAGTGTTTAGTATAAAAACGACCCCATCCTCTACAAGAGTTGCTCTGCACTCATCAGTGTAGAATGCAATCTCAGCAGTGGCCTAAAATGTCTGGTGCCGGCCATGTACAACACTGAGCAGGCCAATTAGCACAAACAAACCCAATTCATATAGACAGTTCCTTCCCTGTGGGAAAAAGCAGGAGTGTCTGTGAGTTTCTCCCTGCCCTCGAGCTCAGTTCAACAGAAGATGAAACAAATTTAAAGAAACAGAGACCAGGAGTGGTAGGGCTGCTAAGGACTGGGGACACTGGACAAAACAATAAATCAAAAGTGGGTGGTGGTACATGCCCTTAATCCCAGCACTGGAAAGGTAGAGGCAGACGGATCTCTGTGAGGTTGAGGCCAGTCTGGCCTACTGAGCAAGTTCTAGGCCAGCAAGGACTATATGATGAGATCCTGTTACAAAAAGTTAAAAGTCAGAACCAGGGTCCCACAAGATGGCTCATGAAGCAAAGGCGCTTGCCACCTGACCTGATGGCTTGAATTTGATCCCTGGAGCCTAAATGGAAAAAGTAAAGACCTGTCTTCCATAGGTTGTCCTCTGACTTCTCACACACAATAAGTAAATAAAAGCAGAGATGGGAAGATGGCTTGGTGAGGGAAGTGCTTGCCAGACAAGCAAGAGGACCTGATTGGGATTCCCCAGAAGCCAGGTAAAAAAGTGTAAATTCAGGCATATGCAACCCCAACACAGTGGGGTGGAGACAGGACCCCACAGCTCACAGCTGGTCTATAGGGAGTGGGCTAAGTACAGTAAGGAGATCCTGCCTCAAAAATAAGATTAAAGAGGACACCTGCCATCCACTGGCTGCCCTCACAGGTACCCACAGTACCTGGACCCACACAAATCAAAACTACTTACTTAAAGAGAGCCTCTTGGCTCTGGTGGTGCCCCATGCGGATCCTCACACACCAGCTGCTGCCTTTCCCGGTCTTCCACGGAGCTGGCCCAGCTGAACAAATGTCTCCCCCAGCCACTCACTCGCTTTCACTGCCTGAGCCCTATGACTACAACCAGCTCTCAACTCAGGTCAGTGACAATGACAGACAGTCCTCCTGGGCGCAAGCTGGAAAGGGCAGGCATTTTCATGGTCAGGTCTCACTAATTCTCTCTAATGATACCAAAAACACTATGGTCTGTTTCCCTCTATCACATGAGGCAGGAAACCTGAGTTCCAGCCTGAATTCTGCCACTTCCTGGCTGTTACCTTAAGTGAGTCAGCAAGTCCTTCTGGGCTCTTATTTCAACATTTGTAAATTTACAGAATTGGATTTCTAGATCCATTTAGCTAAAACCAATGTCCATCCCTCATCTGTGGATGTAATTAAGAAATGGCAACATTATTAAATATGTCACACTTTCCCCAATGTGTATTAGGTGAAGGCTGTGGCCCCCTACCTATATTAATTTCCTTGAGTCTTCCACCCCAGGACATGAACACCAAAGATGCTTGTCAGCACAGAGGATTCAACATACCCTAAATCCCAGGACCTCTAGGTCTGTGACTGTGTCTTTCAAAGCAATGAGTAAGATGAATATTCTTTTGTATCATAAAATCAAGGCTAGAGAGATAACTGACCAGATGCCACCAGCTGTCTCTTTAGTGCCTCATTTAGATGTAAGCCTAAAGCTCAGAAATACCTAAGTATAGCATTTTTTAACCTTTATTTTTATTTTATCTATATGGGTATTTTGCCTCTAGGTGCGGCTGTATACCGCATGCATGCAGTGCCTGTGGAGGCCAGGAGAGGGCATCTGATCCCTTGGGCCTGAAGATACAGATGGTTGTGAGCCCCCTTGTGGACGCTGAGAATCAAACCTGGGTTTTCTGCAAGAGCAGCCAGTGTTCCTATTGTCAACCCATCTCTCCAACCTCAAGTATAGCATGATGGGGGCATAATCAATACATCATGGGAGACAAGAATTCTCAGACAGTGAAGAGCGTGACTTGCAAAGGCAATAAGCCGAGGGAAGCAAGGCAAGGGACTGGCGATCTTGGTCTATGTCTCTCCTGATATGACTCACATGTCTAGCCTGCTCCTGGTACACAATCTCAGGAAGAGTAACCAGCAGCGAGTCCTGGGGGTGCTCAGGAGTGCTGATGAAGCAGACTGCTGGGAAGTCCTTGACCTGCACACACCTGCATAGCTCCTGGATGGATTTCCCTTCACAATCCTGCAGACCCCCGTGCGCCACTGTATTACAACAAACCCCCAGCTGAGGGCCGTAGCACACCACAGGACAAGGACACACGAGCTCTATGAAAAGTTCTGGTGTTGACTTCAAGTCCCTCTAGCAGGCAAACTGGCAATGCATTTTGAGGCAGATCTCCCTGACATCCAGACCTACAAGCCCATGGGATCCACTCTGGCAAAAATCACAGAACTGGAGCTGCAGGCACAAAAGTCCCACACATTATCATTTCTTTCAAAGAAAAATAATTTGATTGGATTGCCTACAAATATAACAAATGCCAAAAAAGTCTAGGACATTGTAGGATTTCCTTGTAAAATAAGCAAATGTGTCTTTTGTATTAGAAATAACCATGGTGACTGGAAAGACAGCTCAGCCATTAAGAGTGTGTACTGCTTCTGCAGAGGACTAGGGCACCTCTGGCCTTCTCAACTCCTGCACTTGTAGGCTCATACCCCACACAGATGCATATACATACACATAATTAAAACTAAAGCTAAAAGAATTAAAAGATTGTTACCAAGGTGTCTAACCTTTCTTAACATAAAGTCATCTGTGACAACTGCTTAGTGACAGGGTGACAGGCATTAAAAGATCCATAGTCCTCAGGAAATGTTCAATGAGAACCACAGAAGAATGGGATAAAATTGGGGGACAATAGATACAGGAAAGAACCGACTCGAGCCCTATAAGAGGAACCCTACACTGAAGGCACAGGCAAGAGCAGAGTCAACGGCTGCTTCCAAGCTAGGGAAGAAGAGGAAGGTGACCCATGGCATAACTGGAGAGAGGAAGGCTCAGAAACCCTGGGAAGGAAACTGTAAGTTCCCACATGCCCTGTTTAGGGTAAATTCAGAGACCACAAATGCACATCTTTTTTAAAGAGACTTTATTTTCAATGGCTGGCTGTTTTGCCTGAATGTTTATCCACATATCACATGTTTCTAGTGCCCAAAGCAGCCAAAAGAGAGCACTTCTAGATTCCCCGGAACTAGAGTTACCAGTGGTTGTGAACCACCATGTGGGTGCTGGGAACCAAACCTAGGTCCACTGAAAAAGTAGCCAGTGCTCTAAACTTCTGAGCCATCTCTCCACATCCCCCTACCTACCACTAAAAGCATTTTCAGTTGTATTTTTTTTCTCAGCCCATTATTTTTTAATTATATGCATATGTATGTGTCTGAGTGGGGGTTTGTGCACGTGAGCACAGAGCATGAAGAGGCCGGAAGACAGCATTGCCTATCCCAGGGCTAGAGCTACAGGCAGTTGTCCCTGACCTGAGTGCTAGAAACTGAACCCAGGTTTCCGCAGGAACAATATGTGCTATTACCCACTGAGCCAATCTTTCTAGCCCCTCAAACACACATTTTCATGAAAATTTTTGACAGTTTTACTCTTAATCCTTCCCCATCTCCCCCATAAAGATAGAGTTTTTGTATTCTTCCTATATAGCCCAGGCTGGCCTTGAACAAGTGATCCATCCTCCTGCCTCGGTTTCTCAAGTGTTGGTTTTATAGGCGTGAGTCACCATGTCCCTCAGCAAACAGAGAGAATGAACACTAGCCACGGAGCGTGTCCAGGGTGAGGTAGGAGGATGCCGCCCTCCTGTCCGACCTAAAGGGCACATTTCCATGCTCTGATCACTTCTCAGCTTTCCTGAATACCACTGCAGCTAATGTTGTTATACACAGAGCTTTTTCTAGGCTGTAGATACAGAAATTGCATGTTAGGTGACAGATGTTCACTTACAGAACTCTGTCTAGAAATGACTGCCATTCTATACTCCTCAGCAGCACACAAGAGTGACACTTCACCAAGCCTATGCCACACCAGTATTAACCAACAACTGTTAACGCCATCGCCTATGTGAAAATATTAGCTGGGTAGAGGCCTTCTACCATGACTACCATGGCCTTACATACCTTTCTTTTCCCAGTGTCAAGGATAATGTACATTTTCATGGTACTTATGGTCTCTCTGTGAGGTCCATAAAGCAGGCATGTTTATTTCCATTTTGATGAGGAAAATGAAGTTCAGCAAAGTTAATCCATTTGTTCAAGGTCATGCAGTTAGTACTAAGCCACAAACTGAATCCAGATCCCCTATGTATCTACTGCATTCTCCACGCCAGCCAACACCAGTTTCTATGTCCTCGTTGAGATGGGAGCATGACCTGTTCCAGGTTTAGCTACACACAGTACTAGGAGCAGTCAGAAATGACCTAGCGATCATAATCCCCAGACTGCTTCTTAATCCTTATACAGTAAAATCTCTGTTACCATAAATCCAAACCAAACTACCAAGTAACTAAACAGGGCTGGGCGGTAGTGGTGCACACCTTTAGTCCCAGCACTAGGGAGGCAGAGGCAAGAAGATCTCTGTGAGTTCAAGGTTAGCCTTATCTACAGAGCGAGTTCCAGGACAGGCTCCAAAGCTACAGAGAAACTCTGTCTCAAAAAAAAAAATAAAAAAATAAAAAAAAACAAACAAAGGGTAACTAAACAGGGCTAAGGAAGATGGCACACTCCTTAAACTGCTTGCTGCATGATCACGAAGACCTGAGTTTGGATTGCCAGAACCCACAGAAAAACCAAGCATGATGGCACAAACCTACAATCCTAGCACTAGAGAAGCAGAGAGACAGCTATCTAAAGCTCATGAATCTGGCCAAATCAATGAGCTCTGAGTCTGATGAACAACCCCATCTCAACATATAAGGTACTGCCTGGCATGGTGGCACACATGTCTAATCTCAGCACTCAGGAAGCAGAGGCAGACAGATCTCTTGGAGTTTGAGACCAGTTTGATCTACACAGTTCCAGGTCTTACTCTTTTACACACACACACACACACACACACACACACACACAAAGAGAGAGAGAGAGAGAGACAGACAGAGATAGACAGAGACACATTGAGAAAATACAATTGAAGAAACCCAAAGTCGGTCTCTAACTTCACACATACACATGCACCTATGCATACACACAAACATGTACATACACCATACATACACATAAAAAAAGGAAGCACTAAACAGAACGTCTAAATTATTGTACTCAGTGATTATACAGTTGGATAATAGCTATGACTTAGAAATATATACTTAAATCTAATGAAAATTTTGTTTGTGTGGCATTAAATTTTTTTAAGTGTTGCTTGAAAAAAATCAAGAGCAAAATGGCTATAAAACTAAGAATAAGCTTAGGAATTAACATGTATACATTTGTCAGAAATAGTTACCTGATTATCATATTTAAGAGACTGCGTCCCAACCAAGAAGCGAATGGCATCTGTTTCCGCAGTTTGAGGTGTTAGAGCGCGTGCCTGAGGAGGGAGGAAATGCACACACATTTATGAAGTTAGGCTTAAGAGGCACAGACAAGTCGACTCTTCTCATCTGCTGTGATGAAGGATAAATCAGCAGCGTCTAGAGGCGACTGCACACTTCCAACACAATTGCACTTCAAATCCGTACGTGAAAGAACTCTAAGTGGGCACTAATCTAAGCAATAAAGATACAAATTATTTACCCAGCAATAGTTACGTTGTGTAATAAAACCACCATGTCAGCAATAAATAGATTGGTTCAACAAATTACACTTCATCAAACAACACAACAGAAATGGCTTCCAGCAAATGCAATGCAGGTAGTTTAAGCCCACTTCCCTGCAGAGACCTAGAAAAGCTGCACAAAATACAGTCTGCCTCAAGGCCTCAGAGTCTGTGAAGCGGCCCAGGATTGGTGACACTGCACCTGCAGGTTGAAGTCTGAGGAAGCTGAGACGAGAACACGCACAGGGCAGGGCCCACCACAGAGAAGCTGGCGAAGCCCTCACCACACAGGAACTCGGTAAGGGGGAGCAGAATTGTAACCAGAGCGGCTGGCACTGAAGCTGTGCGTGCTCTCAACCCTTGGTCTAACGGAAGATGGAGCAGACTGCTGCTCCCAGGCTGGGAGAAACCTGCCAGCAGTGAGTCCTCCACAGGAAGGGAGCATCCCAAGTGATCATGCAGAAACCTAACCTTCACTCAAAACTGTCATTGCACAGACAAAAAAAAACACCTAGGCAAAAACAAAAGAAAATAGGAAAGGGCAGGAAGTTCAAATGGCCCATTCCCTAGGGAACAGGCCCTGGCATTCTAAGATGTATGGACCAGGAAAAGTAAAACTCTGGCATTTGTCACGGGCATCTGCCAGCTGGGGAGCCCTGAGCTAGATGGCCCCTCAGAGCGTAAGCCAACAGCTAGGCTTTATACCACGCACCCCAGCTGAGCCACTGGGGCAACAGGTTGTCCCTGGAGAGTGGAAGGGGCTTGGGCAAGGTGCCTCTGCAGGTGAAGTCATCTCCAGCTATAGGGTCCAACTAAACTGCCAGCCACCGTCCAGCTCAGAAGTTCTGAGTGTTCATGAAGGTGAAGTCTAGGAAACTGAGGAGAATATAAACTATACCAACTATGATGAGAGTGTTCAATAATAGACACAAAATTAAAAATTTTGTGCTTTGAGAAAAAAGATTGCCCAAGTCTGACTGGTGCTTCCAGCTTGTAAACTTGCTCAGCTTTCTGGGTCCAGTCACTACCAGGACCCAGGACAAGGCCCTGTAGTGCTCACTTTACTTCCTGCTGGGCCCAGGGAAATGTCTACATCCTGACTCCTAGACAGATGGCTGTGCTCAGACACACAGAGAAGGGACTGGAGACAGAGAGGCCGTCCAGGACGTTAATCATGCTGGTGCCTGGAACCAGGAACGCTCTTGTGGCCACAGTTAGAGACAAGTAGAAACAAAGCAGGGTCAGAAGTGGAGTGACAGAGGGGAACATTAATCAGTCCTCTAGCTTCATTTGCTCCTACTCACATGTGGCAATGCGTGCCCATGATCCCAGGCACAGGGATTATGAATTCAAAGTCAGGCTGGGCTATCTAATGAGACTCTCCCTCAGAAATCAAGGGAGGGACCAGCCAATCTGGAGGCCACAGATTATTGGTTTGCCATAGATAAGATCTCTGCTGTGTGGGGTACATGCTCCCTGGGCCCCTTTCACTAAGAAGTTATTCTTCACTTAGTGTGCAGTAGTTCATGGGTGACCAGAGCAGGACAAAAGGTGGGTGTCCATCTTCTTGGCAGCCTAGACTTAGGTAATCCTATTATGCACTGCATAAACACTGGTCACTGACAAATATTTTGTCCAGAACTATAATATAAGCCTTGCCTGACCTAGACTTAAGTCTCTCTCCTCCGGCTTCAAAGCTAAAGGTGTTTAATCAGACCATGTATCAAAAACTACAGCCTATGGGTAACATCTCAGAACCTCTGAGCTCTATGTCTTAACGAAACTACTTAGATTACACTGACTTTCAGAAGGAAGAAGGTAGCTATTGAGGATCTAGCCCCACCCTGGGAGGAAAACACAAGTGAGAGGCTCCACCTCTAGATTAGTATACAAAGACCATCAAAGGCAACTTGGGTCATGTAGGTGATACAAGGCCCAGAGTCCCTAAAAATAAGACCTGGAAGAGGACCCAACTGAGAAGTGACTATATCACATTAAAAGTCTTTTCTGAGGGTTAGAGAGATGGCTCATTGGTAAGAGCACTGATGGCTCTTGCAGAGAGGCCCTGGGTTCAATTCCCTGCACCTATATGATGGTTCACACACACCTGTAACTCCAGCTCTTCATCTGACTTCCATGGGCAAATGGTACATAAACTACATGCAGGCAAAGCATTCATAAACATAAAATTTTAAAAAATAAATCTTTGGGCTGGAGAGATGGCTCAGAGTTTAGGAGCACTGCCTGCTCTTCCAGAGGTCCTGAGTTCAATTCCCAGCAACCACATGCTGGCTCACAACCATCTATAATGAGATCTGGTGCCCTCTTCTGGTCTGGTGGCATACACACAGACAGAACACGGTATACATAATAAATAAATAAATCTTTAAAAATAAATAAATAAATCTTTTTTTAAAAAAACTCTTTTTTTATATTTCAAGTTGATGGTGAAAGGCTGACATGCATGTTTCTCCTGCTCTGCGGGTGCCATGGAAGTATTCAAGAGGTTTACAGCCTAGACTAATCAAGAGAGAGAAGACAAACAGCTTCTTCGTTTTACAGAAGGAGGAAGTCAAAATTAAGTGCCCTGCATTAGCAGTCATCTAATAAAGAAGAGCAATTCCAGAATGCAAGCATTCTTGAATAAAGAAGATAGGAGGGGATACACGTCACCTTGTGCATGCTACTTACAGTGCCCTGGAAAGGTGGGGCGGGGGGGGAACGACAGAGAGTAATGCTCAGAAAGCAAGCTTGCTGTGGGATAATTCTTCTGTACGCTATGAATATATGTTGTTCTCATTTGATTAATTAAAAAAACTGCTTTGGTCTACAGTAAAGCAGACTATAGCTAGGCAGGAAAGTCAAACTGAACACAGAGAGAGAGGGTGGAGTCGGGAGAGATGTGAGCAGCCATCCAAGAAACAAGATGAAAACATAAAAGCCATGGCCACTTGGCAATCTATAGATTAATAGAAATGAGTTAATTTAAATGTAAAAGCTACTTAATAATAAGCCTGAGCTATTGGTAAAGCAATTTGTAATTGATATGAAAGCTCTAAGTGACTACTTAGAATCGGCTGAAGGATAGGGCAGCTGTTTACACAAGCTGCCAGAATTCAGAATAGCATTACTAACCTAGAAGCATTTTTTTCAAATTCATACAATGCATGGATGTGTTCTTGTTGTTTTGTTTTGTTTCTGGAAAAACAGATAAGGAAAATCATTCTCACAAACAAATCTAAAATGTGTCTGTAAAAGTAAAAGTCTCACAAAAAGTTTAAACGAGATCGTCCCATTTTTAGGAAAGGTTATTTGTTAAGCAGAACTCCTAAGGTCGTTTTATTCTAGCCAATCTGGTATCAGATCTGTTGTTCTATGTCAGTTTCTTCTAGTAAGCCATAAATAAAGTGCAAGGCCTGGACTTTTCATTAGCAAAAAGAAGACAAACACTTTATAAGGCCAGAGACAAACTGGAAGAGTACTGAGGGTCAGAAACACTGGCACAGACCACAGCAGCAAAATCACTGTCTGGTTCAACAATAGGCAGAAACGAGGATTAAATGCCACCAATTACGAACATTAACCAAAATTAAGTGACCTGCACTAGCTGCTTGGTCTGGTCAGAAAGATAACTTAACAGGTTCCACTACATCGAGGTCTGGAGAAGAGGAGAATATCTGGCTGTCTCTAGAGCTCTTACAGTGAGGCAGGTGACATATGTCACTGCAGTAAGAACACCTTTTACAAGCCCATGTGCCCCCTGTTCTCATGCAGAAAGACTTGGGCATGTTTTTAATGAAACTTCTAGTCTGTGGTCTCCATGACGTACCCCAAACAAATAATAGGATCTGGACAGACTGAGGGGTCCAGACAATGGCAGGAAATAGTCACCAGGAACTTAGGAATTTACGGCACTCCCTTGAGAAACTTATCATCTCACATGGCTGCTTCCTAAAGTGTGAACTACATGGTTAACTACACAGCAGACCACCAACTGCCCCTAAAAGCAGTGGCCTTGAAAGAGTAATGCTAACTTAGAAAGGGAAGTAGTGAAGAAAGGTTGGGCTCTAACCAGAGAGCAAGGCCTGGTTAGCGTTCTCCTGCACTTAGCAGACTTCCTGCATAAACAGCCTCCTCATCAAGGCACCAGGACAAGCTAGTAAAAGTGATGGAGAGCAGACAACCAAAGGAGCAGAGGAAGGAAAGAAGAAACATATATATATATATATATATATTAATTATATGGCCACCTGATGAATTTTTAAACACAACACAGCTCAGTGGTAGACCACTGGACAACCATGCGGAAGACCTCAAGTTCCACACCAGCACCACAAAAAAGCAAAGGATCACCTGGGCTCTGAAACTCTGTGTACAGAAACATGCCTGCCCTGGACATGGATGGATGGAATACACAAGAGCTGTAATTTGTCTGTTCCCAACTCTGCTGTGATCCAGTGACTCAAAGGGCCGGGCACACGATAGGCACGATGTAGTTATTTGATGTGGTGGTCAAGTGTTGGGTCAGTTTGTCACAAGCTAGAATTATCTGGGAAGAGGAACTTCAACTGACAAAATGCCTCCATCAGATTGGTTTGTAGGCAAGTCTGTGGGGCATTTTCTTGACTATTGGTGTGGGTAGTGCCACCCTTGGGTAGTGGTCCTGGGAGATATAGCAAAGGTAACTGACCATGAACCTGAGAGCAAGGCAGTAAGCAGCACTACTCCACGGTCTCTCCTTCAGTTTCTAACACCACATCTCTGCCATAAGTTTCTGCTCTGCCCTCCCTTCATAATGGACCTGGGAAATGAAATAAACCCTGTCCTCCCCAAGTTGTTTTTGGTCATGGTGTGTATCACAGCAGTAGAAAAGCAAGTGGCAGTGGTGGTGCAAGCCTTTAATTGCAACATTTGGGAGGCAGAGGCAGGTGGGTCTCTGAGTTCAAGGCCAGTCTGGTCCACAGAAGTGAGTTACAGAACTGCCAGAGGTAGAGCGACACAGAGAAACTCTGGGGGTGGGGAGGAGCTAAAGAAAATGAATAATGAAGAGATTCCACCAGAAAAATGCTACCAAAGCTTATCTCAAAAAATGAAAAAAAAAAGAAAGTCTGGAGAGATGGCCCAGGGGTTAAGAATGGCCCATTAGTTGCTTTGCAGAGACCCCAGGCTCAATTCCTAGCACCCACAGGGCAGCTCACAACTGGTACACATATACTGCATAGGCAGACGTGCAGGCAAAATACTGATACACTAAAAATAAATAAATCTTTTTAAAAAGAGAAAGAAAGAAAGAAAAGTAAAGAAATAAGAAGCCTGAACAGCTATGATCAGGAACTACATCATGAAGATATGAGAATGAGAGGCCAGGGGCAGGTAAGACAAATCGCCCTGACTGTTCCCAGGGGCAGGTAAGACATGCCACCTTGACTGTTCTACAACCTGAAGCATGAGAACTCCCAGGCCAGATAAAGCCATCCCCACCAAAATCACATGCCAACAAAAACTAGAAACTTCTGGAGAACTGTCACTTAAGTAAGTTGGATCTAGCGTGGGAAACCTATCTCAGAATGCCAAGGATTACTCAACATTTAGAAAGCTGTCAGTTAGCATTACTAACCAAAGAAATAAAAGTAAAGAAGGTCCTGGAAAGACAGCTCAGCAGCTAAGAGCTGTACCCATCTCAGGTGGCTCAAGACCATCTGTAATTCAATTCCAAGGCACTTAATGCTCTTTCTGACCTCCTTGGGCATCAGGCACACGTGTGCACATACATGCTTGCATGGAAAACACTTATATACATAAAGTAAAAATAAATGACTCTTAAAAAAGAAAAACTCTGAAAAGCACACACCTGTAGATGCTCCCAAGCACAAGGCTTCCTCGGGAAGCAGCAAGCTTACTCCAGCACAGGTCCAGGAGCATCCCCTGACTCCTCCCAACAGTGATAACCCCTCAATCCTCCCTAGCATGAGACTGCTGCACCCTGGCTTTGCGATTTAACGTGTGTCGCTTCGTGAAGATTTTAAGTCAACATCCTCCTGTTCTCTTCCACTATTGCTGTACTCATAGAGCAGGCAGGCATTCCTCGGCATTTACTGTTTACTACTTCGTGTGAGTAGTAGGGAACAATCTGAACACCGTTCATCGAACATGTGTGCGTGCGTTATCTCAGGTCAAGCTTGCGTGCGAACTTTGAGCCTACAGGCTGACACTAACTGCTGGGGCTATCTCACTTACCAATCATCACAGCCACCCCTGAAATAAACTGGGAGATGGTAACCCCATTCACTACTCACTCCAATCAGTAACCTAAACTACACACATCACGAATAAGAGCAAAGTCCGGGGCAGGGGGGTGGGCGGTAAACAAATAGAACTCAACAGCTATTGGAGGGGGTAAAAAAAAAAAAAAAAAAAAATATTTTCCAAACCAGAGTGCGAAAAATGTAAAATATTTCCCCCCCCCCCCCCCCCCCCCCCCCGAAGCCCCTCCTTGTCGGTCATGTATAGAGCAGTATCCAGCACACACGTCAGTGCTCAAGAATTGCTCCTCAAGTCGCCCGCAGTGCGAGTGTGATTAAGATACCTGCGGGCCGACCTCTCGCCCTCTGGGGTCCATGCCGGCCCTCGGCCTTACTCGCCCACCCTCCGAGAGGATCCTTTCTCCCTAAACCCTGCCCGGGAAGCCCAGAATCCTCGCCGTCAGTGTGAGCACTATCGCAGGAGCAGGTCAGCCACGGGCGGCACCGACCCCGGGTCTCCTCCAGGCCCACCTGAAACTCCAGGCCGTAGATTACCGGCGCATCGTCCTCCATGACACACGGCTCGCCCTTACGCTCACGCCTCAGCGCCCGAGTCCGGCCTCACCAGCGAACGGCCAGAACCCATTCATTCATTCCCTGCCGAGAAAAGAGGCTCCACGCCCCGGGCCGGCTCCCTGACGGCTCACTTCCTGTTTTCTTCGTGGCGTCAGCAATACGCTCCTCCACGGTGGCCAATGGCGGAGGCGCTTTTCTTGCGCGCATGCTCATTTGGAACCTCAGGCGGGCTAGGAGCCGCGGGGGCTCCTGGGACGGAGGGCGGGACCGGGAGCAAATGCTGCGGGGTGGGCGGACACCAGGGCGGAGCTCTAGCGTTCCCGACCTGCTCCCATGTCCTAAAGAAAGCAGCTAAATGGGCATTATGGTTGGCAATGCTTAACTCTAAACGTGGTCCTGAGCACCAGGCCACTGCCAAGAGCCTTTGCTCCAGCCTCAGCGGCACGTCCGTTTAAAGATAAGATGCTGCAAGCTTGCCGGGTTGTGGTGGCGCACGCCTTTAATCCCAGCACTTGGGAGGCAGAGGCAGGTGGATCTCTGTGAGTTTGAGGCCGGCCTGGTCTACAAGAGCTAGTTCCAGGACAAGTTCCAAAGCTACAGAGAAACCCTGTCTCAAAAAACAAAACAAACAACAACAACAACAAAAAAAGATGCTTCAAGCTTAAGTCAAGATGGCAGCGGTGTACGGGAGCCATGAAGTGCAGCCGGATCCATTTCCCTTGAGGGACCAGTCCTGTACAGCCACACAACTGCGCCATGATCTATACTGCCCAGGTCTCCCAGAGATGGAAGTCTCTTAAGTCCTGTTCTGGCATGGAGAGTACTGGAAGATAAGAATGCATCCCAGGGAATCCACTGGATTGGCTCTAGGAGTTCTGGATCCACATACATTTCTTCTGTGTTTGTGACTTTTCCCAGTATCTCGAACTGACCTTCATGGCAGTGGTTTATGTGACACTACCATTAGTTCCCTTAGCAGTCCACTGCTCACCTCTGTGTCCAACATCGTGTCTTTCAGGGGGGGAAATCTCTAACCACTGTCTTCCACCAATCGCAAAGCTATGAATGTAATCAAAGAGTTATAGCAGAGGAGCAGAGGGTTCGCCGCTTGGCTGTAATCCAGCTACCCAATGCTTCCAAAGCATGCTTGAGAATGGTATAGATTTAGATTTACTTCTTGATCTTACTGTAAAAGTCCATCCAATTGTTACCATGTAAGACAACAGAATTTAATCAAGGTAACCTAAATCTATGTTCCCACGCTATAGTCAATCATCACTGGCTCCAGAATAAGCCCTTAATCCCCTTTGAGACGAGAGCTGTGTTCTCACACTGTCACAACCTTTTCTGAGATGACACTAGAAATCAAGAAAGCTGAGTCTTGACTCTAGAACAGCAGGCGGGACTCTTGGCCGTCTCTACTCCTCCTATCTTTATGGACGTTAGCACACACCGCCACAGACACACACAGGTGGGGAAGTGAAGAACCAGCAAGGGCAAAGACAAGGTCCAAGGGAAAATCATCCTTGGTTGGTGCCAGCCCCAGGACAGATGATTTCCTTCCAACACTGGGCCCACCCTCCCTGCTCTCCAAACGTTTGGGGCTTTAGGTCCCGCCCACCGCTCATGAACCGGAAATGTGCCTGGCTTCCGGCTTCCAGTGGGCGCTCCCAAACAGAGCCTATGCGGAAGTCGGGCTTTACTAGCCGGCAAGCGCAGGCGCACAAGCTCATGGGCGCTTGGATCTTAAATCGACTTCCGGTCTCCAGTCCTCTCTTCGGACCCTTTTCACCCGAGTGGGATCCGCCCCCGGGAGCGGGTGGCAGGTGAGGAGTGGGCCGCAGTCAGGAGGGGTCGCCGGGGCCCTCGACATTCCGCGTGTAGTCACCGCCTTCTCCCGCGCCGGGTTGGGACCCGCCTGTCTGTGTGTGTGGCAGCCCCAGCAGGGATTGCCTGTTGACTTTAGCCAATTCCGTGCCCCCTGTGGTTTGTGGTTTTGGACAAGGTACACACGCCCTCCAGGCCTCAGTTTCTCGTGTACAGAGCGAGGTTCATGTGCATGTATAGTAGAAACCCGTGTTACATCACCATTGCTCATGGTATGTTTTTGTTTACCCCAACTTCTGCTCCTGCCCTCCTCAATGTCTCGTATCCCCCACACTTAAAACACCGCGGTAAGCCAAACGCGAGGGGCCTTAGAGACGGGCTTAACCTGAGCAGTGAAGAGTGAGTCGTGTTGGCTGAGCAGTGTTTCGTGCATGTAAGCCCAGCGTTCGGGAAGATTGAGATAGGAAGACTGCAAGTTTGAGTAAACCTCGGCTAAGTAGGGGGACCCCCGCATCTCCAAAAGAAAAGGAAGGAAAGAGAGCACTGATTTCAGATAATTGTCTTCTGACTGTACATACACAAATGAGTAAATACAGTAGAACAGGGTGTTGCTGCTGCACCTGTACCAGCATTTGGGATGTGGAGGCAGGAGGATCAGGAGTTCAAGGTCGACTTCTGTCACATAATTTAAGGCCGGCTTAGGTTACTAAGTCCTTGATTTATAAAAACAAATTCTCACACATAAGAAAAAGCTAAATAAAGCCAGGCGTGGTGGCTCACACTTGGGTGGGGGCAAGGGCAGGCAGATCTCTGTAAGCTCGAGGCCACCCTGGTCTACAAAGCTAGTTCCAGGACAACCAGTACTGTTACACAGAGAAACCCTGTCGGGGCGGGAAGCTAAGTAAAAACAAAAATATCAGCCAGCCATTATGTAGTGAAGTTGGGGTATATGTACACTGTTGCAGGGAACGGAAAGGGCTTCTGAACTGGAAAAACTAGTTCCTTGTTAAAATAAGAAGGTGACTACTGTCAGTTGGTGGTGGCATATGTCTTTAATGCCAGCACTCTGGAGGCAAAGACTAGCAGATCTCTGCGTTTAAGGCCAGCCTAGTCTACCAAGTGAGTTCAAGGATAGCCAGGGCTACATAGAGAAACTGTGTCTGAAAGCAAAAACATAAACAAAAAAACATGTTTATTGTTATGATCTAGCACTTCCATCTCTGCCCATTGGAATAGGATGTACCAAAGAACCGAAATTAGAATCTCAAAGATACATCAATTCACACATCCTGTTCACAGCAGCAGTGTGCTTGGTCTCTAGAGACTAGAAGGAACCCAAGTATCTGGTAGTGGGTAAATGGATAAACAGACTGCCACATGCCTGCAGTACATGTTAGTCACCTGTCAAAGGGAAGGAAAGCTCATATGTGCTGCAGCATGCATGTTCGGTACAGTGTGGAGAATGATCTATGATAGCCATGATTCCTGTTTAATGACAGAGCATGTAGGGAAGGAAAGCCCATACATGCTGCAGCATGGATGTTCGGTACAGTGTGAAGAATGATCTATGATAGCCATGATCCCAATTCAAATGGGTGAGCATTTAGCAAGCAAAGAGAGCAAACAGCATGCAGCAGACAGCAGAACAAGCAGGCAGCAAACCTCATCCAGTCAGAGCTCACCACATCCACCAGAGAAGACTGAAGGAGTCCGAGTGTGAAGAAAGGACATTAAATTGGTACTCACGACATCCTGCAGAATCTGCTGGGGAAGCAACAGTCATGCTGGAGTTCTGGATGGAGGGTCCTGGGCAGGGCAGAACGGTCCTTCATGGATGGATGAGTCTCACGGTGTCTCTTGCCAATGGTTACTTTCTGTCTCTTCTCAAGAGCATGTTTTTACCGTCAAGATGTGTTACTGTTCTGAGCCTGTACGTAGGCAAGGGCCCTTGGAGGACACTATGAGGTAGACATGGTTGGGCCTGAGGGGGCAGGAGTGCGTATCCCACAGTCAGGGCAGATGGCACTTGGGCACTGATAACTATATATTACAGTGGATGAATGCTTTATGAGTCTATTTAAATATGCTTCCTGGAAATTTAAAAACAACAGGAATAGGTGGTGCTTGTCCGTGTGTGAGTTGGGGGGTGGGTAGTGATATGGGATGTGCTTCTGTATATGTGTTGTTTTACTGGTTGATGAGTAAAGGTGTTTTGGCCAGTGACTTAGCAAAGTAAAGCCAGGCGGGAAATCCTAACAGAGATATACAGACAGAGAAGGCAGAGTCAAACAGACGCCTTGTAGCTGCCGAAGGAGGCAGATGCCATGGAGCTGCCCAAGAAGTAAGAGGTAACAAGCCACGAGCCTCACAGTAAAATATAAAATAATAGAAATGGGTGAATTTAAGATATAAGAGCTAGCTAAAAATACACCTGACGCATTGGCCAAACAGTGTTGTAATTAATATGGTTTTTGCATGATTATTTTGGTCTGGGTGAACGGGAATGAACGAGCAGTCTCCGCTTACAGGGTAGATTTAATGGGTATAGAATTTTTGTTTTGCAAGATGATCAAAATCCTAGCAGCTGATTAGACAACAATGAGAATGTGCACACTTAAAAATGGTGAGCAGTGAATTTGTGTGTATTTTATCACTTCAAAATAAGTAAACTAGAAAAAGAAAAATTTTTAATTTTATACCATTTGGATGTGAAACTATTAAAACCTTTGTTCCACTGAGAACAAGATCTAGGTAGCACAGCCTATCATCTCAGAACCCCAGAGGTTATGAGTTCAAGTCCACCCAGGTTATGTGAGATCCTTTCTCAAAAAAAAAAAAAAGCAAGTTACTTGCCAACACTAGAAATAGACAATGATGTGATTTGTGATGGCCTCTATTTTCAGGCAATATGGAAAAAGCTAAAGATGGTGAACAGAGCCCAAGTGAGGCATCTCCTCCAGCCCAGGCAGGGCCTGGACCTGTCCCCATGCCAGCGTCTGGGGAGGAAGGCCAGCTGCTGTATCATGAGGAGACCATTGATCTCGGTGGAGACGAGTCTGGATCCGACGAGAAGGAGCCCTTGTCCGAAGACTCTCGCCGCTTCGGCGATAAGCTGAACGAGCATATGATGGAGAGTGTGCTCATCTCCGACTCTCCCAACAACAGTGAGGGTGATGTGAGTGACCTCGGCTGTCTGCAGGATGTCGCCGAGCCCCCAGGAGGTGCCACTGATGGCAGGCTGCCCAGCGCCACAGACAGAGAAGGGGCGGACACTCTGAGCAATGGCAGTGAAACCGATGGAGAAGATACACCCAGAGACGTTTCAGA